GGATTTTCCATCAAGTGGTAATGCCAGAAGGTACCTTTTTGAATGGATACGCGGATGACATAGACGCCATCGTCACCGCAAGAACGATGCAACTCGCGGAAGCTAAGCTGAATCGAGTGCTAACGCGAGTAGAAAGGTGGATGAACCAACGCGGCCTTGAAATAGCAGCAACGAAGACAGAAGTGGGAATATTAACAAAGAAACATCTCCCCAAAGAAGTGCCGTTGACTGACGGGGGCACGCAGCTAACGACCAAACCAGTAGTGAAGTACCTTGATATTCACCTGGACACCAAGCTGAACTACGGAGAGTACCTCAGGATAAAAGCAGAAAAGGCGGCAACAGTTACGACGCATCTCAGCTGAATCATGGCAAATGTAAGAGGACCTCGTCCATCAGTAAGGTGGCTACTGATGCGAATGGCGGAAAGTATCATCCTCTATGGAGCGGAGATTTGGGCGGATGCAATGCGATTTGAGTGCTACCGGAAACGCATTAACGCCGTACAAAGAAGAGGCGCGCTCAAGGTAGCGAGTGCATACCGAACGGTACCAAAGACCGTAGTCCTCGTGGTGGCAGGGACCATACCCTTTCATCTACAGGTCAAGGAGAGAAGATCTATATACCTCAACAGAACAGCATTCGGTGAGGCGGAGGCCCGAGCACAAGCAAGGGAAAACACACTGGCAGCCTGGCAGGCCAGATGGTCGAGCGGAGATACTGTAAAATGGACGAAGAGACTGATACCTCGGATCTCTTCCTGGGTAAATAGAAAACTCGGTGACGTCAACTACTACCTGACCCAGTTTCTGACGGGCCACGGTCTGTTCGGCGCTTACCTCCACAAGATGAGGAAACGCACGGAGCCAAAATGCCTTTGTGGTGCGGAAAACGACGATGCCCTGCACTCATTTTTCGAATGCACGATATGGACAGAAGAAAGAAGAAGGCTGGAAGAGCAGATAGGATCCATTACGCCTGACAACACTGTGATGCACATGTTGGAGAGCGAGGAAAAGTGGACGAATGTTGCCACCTTTGTGGAGGCAGTGCTTAAAAAAAAGAAGAAGAGAGAAAAGGAAGGGCGACCGAACCTCGGCCAAGAAAAAATGCGTGGGCCTTTCACACCTGAACCTCCGAAGTGGGGGACGTAGGGTGCGATGTCCACATAGGCATATAGAGAATGTCAAGATAGACGCTAACCTACGCTACCTTACGCTAACCCTAAACAAAGCGCGAGTAACGAACTTCCTGAACTTCCCAACGGGGAGATGTAGGGAGACGCTAAATGCAAGGTCGGCGCCCGAAAAAGGGCGAAGAAATAAAGGGACTACCTGGAAGCATACTTAAGTGAAAAGTGCCCGGGTGGTTGCCTCTGCAGGCTCAGATGGGTCACTCTGGGGTTGGCCCAACCTCTGACATCCAATAAAAAAAAAATTATTATTATTATTATTATTATTATTATAAATATTTATTATTATTATTATAAATATTTATTATTATTATTATAAAATAATAATTATTATTATTATTTGTTTAAAGAAATTTCCTAGATATGTATTTACATTAAAATAGTTAATTATTACTTTTTCTGTTCTTTTTTTTCCATAACCGTAAACGTTAGACTTTAAAATTGTAAGCTTAGAGAAATTGGTCGATTAATATTGAATACAATGGCTTTTCGTTATTTTTTTTTCTTTTCGAAGAGAGAAAATACAAGAACTTTTCTTTTTCTTCGCAAAAAGCACGCCTTCTCATGAAATACAAATATGTTCGGCATTCATTATAAATTGAATTCTTCTCCACTAATAAATTCATACATTCATTCTCCTATATCTCTTAAGAATATTCTACAAAATAATATAACAATAATCGCGTAATGAATCTTTTTCAATAATTAACCTATTATTATTTTATAAAACGTAGAGTAATGTCGAAATAGCATATAGTATGTGTGTATGTATATGTATATATATATTTATTTATCGCGTGATTATGTTCATTTTTTAACCGACTTCAAAAAAGGAGGAGGTTCTTAATTTGACTGATTTTTTTTCTATGTTTGTTACTTCAGAACTTTCGACTGGGTTAACCGATTTTGATGATTTTTTTTTTTAATAATAAATTAATTTAAATAATGAATATTGCAAATATTTAAACAGTTCATTTACGAGAGATTTCATTACCCTCAATGTAACCTGTTGATGCACGGATATATTTACTTATAATTAACATTAATTTTTAATTAATCACGCTTTACTGTAACACACAACAATTTATTTTAAGATTATTAAATTAATGTATAAATATAAATATGCGTATTCGATCAATATTGTGTTCGTCGATACGGATACAAAAAATGTAATGTATTGATTTTTTTTAGTCTTGCCGCACTAAAATTATGCTCGGAAAAAACTTTCTTCTGTTATTTACAATAATTTCGGGTAATAATAATTATAATTTATTCTTAATTGCGCCTAGAATAATTATTTAATGGACTCATACTAGCAATAAAACATTCCGTACCTACGAAATGCTTTGGCCAAGAATATTCAACACTCGAAGGATTAAAGCAGAAATATGAAAAAAAAGTTTGGAACAGGATGATAACGAATAATATTTTTCTTTTACAAATCGGACGAATTTTTTTTCGCTATTGTCGCAACACAGTACGTAAATACATAAATACATATGAGTATGTATGTATAATTCGAAGATAACGAGGTCGCATCGTATCGAATAAATATTTTCATTGATAACACCAAATATCTTGTTCTTCATTCTTTTTTTCATATTTTATAACTTATTTTAATTTTTTTTTGTCTAAAAAACATTGGTCACGTGAGACGACGTATTTGATATTTATGTCCGAATTACGCGGAAAAAAGTGTCGTAACGACTTTACAATTGATTGCGTGAGAAGAATTAAAGTGGATAAGTTAGGTAAAAAAGTTAAAGAAGAAGAATTAGAACAAGGAGAGAAAAAATCAATATTATTATTTCATATATATATATGTATATATGTATGTATATATATAAAGATAATTTTAAATTGATATTGTCCATACACGCGCATGTGATTTTTGAAAAATCTTAAGCTCGAAGAGAATAATTTCGATTGTGTCGATATAACGAGCGATATTATATAAATACCCTGTAGCGATAAACGGAGCACCACAATGAGAAAAAAAAGCAATTCCATCGATATACTGCAATTTATATATTCGCCACTCCATATTACGTCATTTCGAAGACCACAAGGAAATGTTGCTGCCAACACTTCAGAAAGATAATTAGGCCATTAAATATAGTCGTTAAAATAATAATCATACGTATTATTATACATCTTGTGTAATATTTTTTGTTTTTGATTAATTCTCTTTTTTAATACTTCGCAGTATTAACACTTCAATTATCACAAAAATATTTTCTTTCGTTTATCGAAATTTTATTATTCAATTAGATTTAAATTGGATTAAGAATTTATAGATAAAATTTTTGTAATTATTTTTTTCTAAATAATAATATTGAATAAAAATGATAATTAAATTTAAAAGTAATTTTACGAGTCAATTAATTGCATTTTTAATTATATTCTTTTCTTTACTTTGATTTAAATTAATGGAAATTATTGCTGCAAAGTCAGATAATATTAAAAATTGTGATTTTTCTTGATAAATTATCTGAATAATAACGAATCTCCGAAATCTCTGAAATATTTCAAATCGAATAGAATCAAATAGAATCGCGTGTCGACGTTTAAATCTCAACTATATCTTTTCGAACAGCTTCAAATTTGATCGCTCTTCTCGTCGTCGAATTTCAATGACATTTTATCGTTCGTATATTTCTTTAACTCTCTCTCTCTCTCTCTCTCTCTTTTTCACACAAACTTGCTCAATTCCTCTCTCTTTGTTGGAATTAATCATCGAAATTCCTTCATACGCGCTCGGATTGCTGTTTGAGTAACAAGTAAATAGACGAATTCTACAATTTTTCATTTCGAAGAATTCAGTGGAAACTTTTTTTAACTTAAATAAAGTTTCTCTTCCCCTTTCATTTCATACACATCCTTTGCTTTGATTTGTTCAACAACTTACAACATAGTTTGTATATTTTTAATTTTACACAAATTTGAATGTATACTCAAAGAAATTTTGATCGCACGAAAATCGATTAAAATGAAATACCACTTTTAGACAACCATTCATATACGAGTAAAACTGGTCGAAATTTTTTAAAAGCGTAAGTTGAATCGTTGAAGTGTTTTTGAACGTGTTCAGTAGCGTGTGATGAAACGTACGTACAAGGTATACAAAAATGGCATTAGCATCAGTTTACTTGTAAAAATTTGTCAGCAAGAATATTACGATCAGATTCACAATTATTTAGAAAATGATTGAATATTTAATTTTTTGTTTATTGTCTCTTTAGTGATAAGTTTAATTTTAATTAGAGACCACGTGATAATAATTATTATATTTGATTAGAAAATATTACATATTTTTATATAGCTTGCACATAATTACATCACACGTTCACTCTCGATGATTCTCAAATCTGCAAAAGTACAAGCAAGCAATATTCAAAAGATTAAATTTTTGTCGATGTTTAAGTTGGACATATAAAAAGAATTTTTTTGTTAAAAAACTTTCATGTACTTATATTAATTCTAACAAGAGCATAGGTCGAAAGTCAAGATTTATAAATATACATTTATGTATGTATATATATATATGTGTGTGTGTGTGTGTGTGGCTTATTTCGGTATATATTAAGACGATATAATATAATATATTAATTAATTTAATTAATTAATCGACGTTCAAATGGTGTGAAAAAAAGAAAATAACTATTACTAATATCAAGTAATAGAGATAAATAGTTGAGAGGATAAATGAGCTTTTGTAATATCTTACAAATTTACTTGGTCCTGACCGCTATTCAACTTATACGGAGTAATATGTTTGAACACGACCTCATTGTTAATTCACATTACGAGCTTATGTGGATTTGCTCGGGTTAAAACATTTCCATTCTTAAAATTTTATTCCTTTTCTTTTTGTCGAGAAACAACTATTGTAAATTCGTGAAAAAATCAGCGTCTTTCGTATACTTCATACAACACGCACAAAAACACACTCACACAAGTAAATACTCTTTTAAATATGATTTAACTTCAAACTGACAAGCTAAATCGTAGAATGAATATTACACATAGTTTTACATATTCCATGTTTCAAATATTTTATTATTTTTATTATAGAAAAAATAAAAGAAAAATGTGTGTTTGGCCAAGTTGGATAAAAAGTAATAAAATAAAAGAAAGAATATTAAGTTACGAAATTCTTTCTTACACCATAACCCGTAGATTAGTATTAAAATATAATGTATATCCCTTATATAATTCCTTTTTCATTTAATTAAAGCTCTAGTTCGCATATAAATCCTTATCGATATCCCGTTAAATCTTTTCAACGTTAAATTATATTCGAATTTACTCTTCTTTTCTTTGATTTGCTCAAATCTGTTCTGCGCAATAACGAGTCCTCTCAATTTATTACTTTATAAAGTCTCTGGACAATTGTACAAGATGAATTTAATTGAATGTCAAAGGATCTTCTATCGTATGATCGAAATGAAGAGAAAAATCCTTTTAAGAGCTTGAATCTCGAATGTAATTAAACGATAGAAGAGATTTTTCTTGACACTTTGAACGATTCATCATGTACACTTGTGTTAACTTTCTTATCAATTTATCTTCTTCTTCTTCTTTTTACGCTAATCATACATTTGTTACTTTTCCTCTCTTTTATTTTGATTTAATTCCCAAGGACAACGTTAATATACGTATAATTTGTACAAATAAATGTTTCTTCCCCGAAAAAAAAGAAAACGAGAAAAAAAGATTTCAAAAAATACGATTATAACTGAAAGCTAAATATTATTACTTTTTTACAATTGCGACTTAAATTTTAAACGCGATACAATTTTTTTGTGTATATTTTACAAGTAGAAATAAGAAAAACAAATGTATAAATGTACGTCCAACAAGCGTCATAAAAAGAGTTATATAGGAAAATAATAAGAAAGCTGATGGACATTTCAAACATTTTGTATCAAGATATGTTAAAAATTTTAGGAAATACTCGTTGTTATCCTTATGTTCGATATTACTTTTATAATTTAACATATTTCATAAAACGTTTGCTGATGTACATTTATACAACATTGCGTTATTCATACTCATAAAACATATCAGTTAAAGTTAGATTGTTTAAAATACCTAAGAAACCATATATATACGACGTTCACCTGCCATTTCTACGTATATATCAAACTTTTGATATGAACTGATGTAAATACGTATTTTCTTTGAAACTTCTTTTCCACTTTAGGATAAGAAAATACTATATCTTTTTCTTTATCTGTATTCAGGTCACTATGAAAGTTTTTTAACTTTCTATGAGAACCCTCTTCGTGACTTCATATTTCTTCTCATGGCTTGCTGAAAATATATCTGTATCTACAGTTACTACATAACTATATATTTCTTTCTATCTATTAAACTTCAAGTTTCGAAGTCAATATGGTCATTAAAATGGCGGCAGAAGTATCATAAGAAACTAAATACGTCTCTCTCATGTTCTTTCTTTTTTTTTCTAAATTACTTTTAACATTTTTATTTATTTAAATTCTTGTTTCTTTTTTTTTCCTGATGATATGTTTTTTTTTTTATGTGAAGTATGCAAATGTGTGAGTGTTCATCATGTTATGTATTTAAAAGGACATACAACAATATCTTTAGGGTTTGTCGAACGAAAGCTCGTAGCAATTTTGTTAGAAATATTTTAATGTGTTTCTCTCTTTCTCAAAGATCCAGGTTTATTTTTTATTTTTTGTGTAATTTATTTTTTATTCTCTTAACAAAAATAACTACAAGCTTTTTAAGAAACCCAATAGAGACAAATGTTCTAAAAAATGCAAGAAAAACAATTACATTCTTCTAAATCGATTTATAACAGGCGATTCGTGAACTATGCTCCTTTCTCTTTCTCTACATATTTTTCTTCATTTATTTTTTTTTTATTTCTAAATCCCCGTTTTGATAATCGTGACGATATGTAACGACTGTGAATTTAATTTATTCTAATTATCTATTTAGAATTATTAATATAATAATAATTATTATTATTATGATTATTATATAATATATCGAAAAAAGAGGCGAAAGGTATAAAGAGGTATCTACGTATAAGAAAATTTTAAGTTATACTTGTATGTATTTATGTATATTAATATATTATATGTGTTAGTGTATTTAAATATATGCATGTATATATCCGGGGGCATCGCTTTGCATCTAATCACAGATCGATTCTAATTAACTCATCGTATACAAACGATCAGACGGCTTTAGATATAATCATTCTTTTCTTCTTTTTACTTTTCCTTTTCTTCCTTTCATTCACCTGTCTCATATTTTTTTTATTTATAACCTACAATGTCCTTTTGACTAACAACACACACAAATCTCACCTAAATACCCGGCTAATTACAGTCATTAATGAATTTATCACACGATCGTTCGTTTATTTCATATCCCGTATAATCTTTCTTCTTGTCAAAGGTAAAACAAATATTTAAAAAACTAATTTTTTGATATATTTTTTAAATCTTCAAATCGTCATATTTCTACAATCGAACTTCCTTTTCCTTTTTTTTTTTATTATTCGTTCTTTTTAATTCGTTGATCGAAAAATCGTCGTACGGATGGTCGATAATTATTTTTTTTTCGAAGAAGAAGAAGAAGAAGAAGAAGAAGATTAAATTGGATTGAATTCGTGAAAAATGGTGACGGTTCCTCGTAACTTGGACGATTTTATCTTATTGGCCAAACGTTTCATTTAATCACTATTCTTTTCGATGGAAATTATAGAAATGAATGATATTTCATCATTGCATTTGGTACTCAGCAACAATAGCAACAGCAGCAAATTATTAGTCTCCGGAACTAGGACAGGGAGAGAAGAGCAACAAGAGATGCCGTCAACCAGAAAACTCCTTGATCCTGTATTCTCGATGATCCATCGACAATTATTAAATCCGGTCCGGTCCAGTCCAGTGCACCATCCATGCCGTCCAAACACTCGAACTCGCAACAACGTTCACCAACACGGAATTTCTTGCATCTCTGAGAAATGAAAAATAATTTTGGGAACCATAGTTAATATTCTACAAATAATTATTATTTTAATTATAAGAATATTATGAATATTATATTTTTGATATAATGTTATATTAATATTGTGTTAGTAGTTTGTATATCAAAATTATTTTTTCTTCTTATTTCTTAACAGGTGATTATAAAAAAATTAACAAATCCAGATCCAGATCTATATTTGTAATTACATAACTATGAAATGGTTGTATAGATATATATATATATCTCATTAGAAATATTTTAATATACCCCGAAAATTCTTGCGTCTACAAAATGCGTTGCGTTTTTTCTCATATCTATGTTATGTAATAACATGATATGAGAAAATATCTGTAGATATATACATATAAGAAATATATGTATACTGGGTGTCCCATTTAAATCGATTCATTTAAATATCTTCAAAACTGTTGATAATAGAAAGAAATGTATTAAACAAAAGTTGAATGATTTAAGAGAGCACATTATATGATATTATTAGTTTTTTTTTGCAGGTGGATGCGTAAAGGTCACATGAGTGACCTAGTATCAATATTATGTCAATAATTTCGTTTGATGTGTAATCTGTTATTTTAATTATCTTAGAAGTTAATTTATCAATGATCACGTTCATACTGGGTCATGAGATAAGAAACAAGACACAGTTGAAAATATCCTACGTATTAATGTTTGTCTGCGAGCATTCATACGACCATGACATACAAAATTTGCAACATATTAACTCCACCAAAATGGTATAATATTTTCTAACGTTCAAATTAAAATATCTTATAAACTAATGATTTTTCGCTATAAGTAGTTTATTATTTTTATGTAAGGATAACAAATTTGCATTAACTGGTGCATTAAAAAAATTTATAATTTCATTTAAAAAATCAAAGTTGACCTTTATATGACCTTTATGCGTCCACCTACAAAAAACTAATAATATCAGATAATGTACCAACCTTAAACCATTTAACTTTTGTCTATAACACATTTTTTTCTATCATCAATAATTTCAAAGATATTTCAATGGATCGATTTAAATGAGACACTCTGTATAACACATACATAACGAATATCCACATAATACTTGGCCGTGAGCCTATACTTCATTTTTAGTACCATGTATGTACTGACGTTTTAACGTCAGATTGTCAGACCCTTATCTTAACATTAACTTTTTCCAAGCAAGCTACAGATGTATTTCCACAAAGGATGAATCAAATAACTAGACTGCTCATGTTCACATTGTTAAGTAATTAATAGAAAAAATTTGGTTGATTGCCTTTGTGAAAATATAAAAAAATATCTGACAATAAGATAAGAAAAATATTGCAACCACCATCATCATCAATCGGTTTTAATCATATAACTTTTAAATAATTCCATTTTTTCCTACTAAAAAAGTAATATAAGATAATACAAAATATTGTTTAGGGTCATCGACGTCATAAATTTTTAATCAAACAATTCCTAAATAATATCATCTTATATACAATTCTCTTTCTCAACTGATGAATGTCATCCTGTTAAATTGCTTTATATGAACTGCATAAATTTTTGATATTTTACACAAAAAGATAATGTAAATAAACTATACAGATTTTGGGTAGCAATTTAATTTTTGTTAATTCAACAACATCCCTATATATAATTCCCCATTAAAAAATTCTTAAATAATTCCATTTTCTATACAGTTCAACTAGTAGGTAAAAACCAGTGAAATTGATACCTTGTATAACATTGTCTAAGGGTTGTATCCTGAAAAAAGTAATGGTTGCCAACAATCAGGTCTTTTCTAAAGCTGCGGTTCTGCGACTCATCCGCAGTGACCTCGGTTTTAGTTTCGCTTGATTTCCAAAGACGAAATGTAATACAATCTTCGTTTACTCATCCTAATCTTTTTTTATCGACAAAATGAACTCTTATAGTTTTCTGTAGTGGGTTCTCGGATAATAGTAAGTAATTAACTTCGTCGTTTTGTTTCGACTAGTGAAATTTATCCTCGTTCGTTTCATTTTTCTTGAACATTGTCAGTATTTTTCTTTATCTTTATCTTTTTTTTTCTTTTTTCTTTTTTCTTTTTAACGACACATTAGAAAATTACACGAGCTAATTGGAAATGATATAAAAGTGTATACTACTTTCGTTAGATTTTTATTTTAACAAGAAGTCCCCTCCATTATGTCGAATAATTTCTTTCATCTGTTGAGTGTTTCTCGGTGCCATTCAGATATGAGAAACAAAAGCGACCGAAATGTGTACGTTAGTAATTTAGCGAAATAAAATAATTAGTAAGCTTTCACAATTTTGCGAAAAAAATTATTATTATTATTATTATTATTATTATTATTGTTTTAGTATAAGTTAACAAATTTTAAGGAGTTACTTTAATTCTCAAATAAATCACACATACACACAATCAAACTTTTCTTTTATAGTACTTTATTTAAAAATATAAAATTATTTAAATGTAACATAATTTTATAATAAAACAAATACTGAAATGAGAATTTTATAAAGATTCATAGAAGATTACACAAAAAACTATCAATGAAAAAAAGTTTGCTATCTAAAAATTGAACAAAATGAAATAATTAAAAGAAAAACGTTTTCTTTCCCTTTCTTTCTCAGAATTTCTTTTTAATACCAATTTCAAACAAAAACTTTTTAAATCATCGTTATTTACGATATAATATCACATTTATAAAATTCCGTTCCGTGTTAGAAAAAAGACATCCCCAAATAAACAACAATACGTAAAAAAGGCGGGAAGTGATAAACAAGATTAGGACGTCTTTGAAATCGTGGAAAAGAAATATTCTTGTTTTTTTTCTTCTTCTTTTTCTTCTTCCTCTTTCTTATTGACGAGTAAACGGATTTCCATTTTTACATTGTATGAAAACATCTTATTAGAGACGACTGGAAGATGGCACATTAAGAGAAAATTCAATAAAGCGATTACCAATCTGCTTAACCTTATCCTTGACAACAACATTAGCACAAATCGTTAATAATCTTATTTTCTATTTAAAGAAACGAAAGAACTGCTATTACAACAATTATCACATCAAATGAACTAACTAAAACGATTACTAAAAATGATAAATCCTACACAATTTAAACGGGGGTACATATTAAAATTGATAAAAAAAGTTACAAAGAAATAATATGTTACATCGAAGTTACATTTTAATTACATAGACGAAAAAAAAAAGTTTCGAGTAGTAGTTCTTGATAAAATTTAAACAAGCTTCACTAATCTGATTAGATTGATCATATTATATGTACACTTTCTGTCCGTGTCAAATAATCCTAATGTAAGAATATTATTTTTCAGATTACGTAGCCATATCGTAACATGTGGTTTATTTCTTACAAACAAGATAAACATACGCTACGCGATCCATTTTTAAAAGAAATATATTTTTTTCTTATAATATAATAGTTAGGAAAAACGTTTAAAAATTGAACCTTTATCTTCAAATCCTTATTTTTATTTTACAAATAGTACTCGCGTGGGTTAAACAATTTTGAATATGACCAAAACTTTTATTTTTTAAAATAAATTTTAAAAACTTTTTAACCCACCCTATACGTATAATACCTAAAAAATATTTCATCCTGAAATAGCAATTAATTTAAATTTATATCAACAAGAATGTATGCATGATTATTTTATTAAATTTTTTTTATTTTAATAAAATGAGACGTAACGCGTGCAATATAAACAATAAATTAAATATTAGCTAACGGCATCATATAATTATTAAAATCATTGTCTCATCGACTATCTAAAACTAAAGAGAGAAAAAGAAATGAGTTCTAGGAAATTCAGTGTCGTACTGAATTTATCCTTGCATGTAGGGAAGATAATGAAAAGCCTTCGTGAGGATGCAACTCTAATAAAATTTTATTCGTTAACGAGGTAACAAGCAATTTATGTATGAGCTCTGACATTCTGAGGCTGATATTACAGGAAAGAAGACGCGCGTAAAACGTAAATAAAACAATATTATTTTATTTTCATCTTTTTCCTTTAAATCATTGGATATATTTTTTATTTCGATATATGTTTGTAAAATCAATATTTCTATGCGTAAAACATATTCGTTATTATATCTATTGTACAGATTGAAATTTAAAATTTGTCATAACCCTAGTAGCACAAAATATTGAAAAATATTAAATACATGTGTATATTTTGTGCTACTAGGGAATTTTGATTAATTATATTTAACAAGTTTTCTATATTGCATATTGTATATTTAATGTATATATACACTTATATTTATTTCATCAATATTTTCTTAAATAAATGTTCAATATATTGTAAATAATTTCGTTTTTTTTTGTACAGAGATTTAGTTAGTATTTACCGACACTCAATCTTAAATTTATAAATAATTTTACACTCTAATAATAATAGACATTTCAAACGTGATTTAGAACCTTCTTGCGTTTCGATCAGTTAAGTAGTTTTTTTGTTGGCATCATATCAGAAATTGAAAATCAATCAATATTTTCGTCATATTTTCCTTTTTCCTTTTTATTATCATAAGAGTAATAATGTGGTGCAAGGAAGAAAAAACTAATGTACTGTTTACGAAGAGGATATGTTAAATAAATACCAATGTCAAAATTAGTTTTCGAAATGTCGATCTGTTTGTTCATGCATTACGTTTAGATCATTCAGATAAATGAGATGAAAGTAAATTATTATATAAACACTAGTGGATACTAATCGTCCCGTAGCGACGCAAGAAATAGTTGATAATTCGATTTTATCAAATTTGACTATTCACGATCACTTAAAACACCTTGGATTCTAGCTTAAAAAAAAACATCTTTTATTTATTATTGAAAAGGTGGAATTACTTTCCGAACGATCTAATAAATAATAGTTTTGTCATTATACATGAGAAAGAGAGAGAGAAAGAAAGAGGAATATATAATTATAGTAATTTATTCAAATTTAAGACCAAATATGGAAGCACTATATAAGAGTTTAATAGTTAATATAAATGTTAACTTTATTTTATTTAGTAAAACAAAGTCTATTTACTAAGCAAACAAGTTGTATATAAACAAATCTAACCATCATAACTAATATTTTATAATAAATTTAAATTAGCAATGAAAAATATTGACACTTTTAATATTAACTTTTACAATATCGATCTCTCAAATTTCATTCTAACATTTTCTTATATAAATACTGAATACAATAAATAGAAGCATAAATATGTGTAAACATTGAAAAGAACGTTGTAATAGAATTTTATAGTCGTAGTTTTAGATTTTCTCGACTTGAAATTGCGACATTCTAGATATGTATATATTTATATACATGCTTGCGAGCGATTAAAAACGCAAAAAAGGAGTTAACGAGTACGACTAAAGTAGAGAGAGAGAAAAAAAAGAGAGAAAAGAGAGTAAAAAAATATATAGAGAATGTCCGTCCTTGAATTTAATTTCAAACAAACGATGTGGCATTTCGCGGTATGTAGAAATTTTCCGCTCGAAGGTGACGCGTTAATAAGTTTTACACTTTTAATTTATAAACTTACACCCTTAAGCTGTTTGAACACGAGGTATACTCAGATCATCATACGCATATAATAATAGTACTGGATATATTTATGTAAATGTAGCAATAAAAGCATTCGCACGATAATTTTCGTGAGATTGTTATCTCATACTCGAAGTTTGTAATATATTCAAAGTATAAATTGTAATTACTTTCATATAATTACATTGCGTCAATGCTTACAATGTAAAATATAGGTGCACGGTTCAAGCGTAAAATTTTCGAAAAAAAAAAGAAATATTTTTGACGATTATTAAAATTGATCGTACTCGATAAATATCTAAATGAATATCTAAGTAAGTATGATTTAGGATTTTGATTTCTTAGTTGTGCATTATTTATTTTTTACGTTTTGTTTATTTTATGTAAAAGCGTGTAGATATTTCGAACTTTATTGACATATGTATAAATGAAATCAGTATTATATAAAGTTACGAAAAATATACAAATTTGTTGTTTATTTATAACATCACACATTTTATATGCTTTTATTCTAAGGGGGTATGAGACTTGAGCAAACTTACTATATAATATTAAGTATGTGCTTACTAAGTGTAGCACGTTTAACGATTTTATATAGCACCAACTCGATACTGATCTCGGTCAAAGTATTTTTTTTTATCGTAGGAAAGAATTCCAGTTAGCTAGCGATCGAAGAGGAAAAAGTGAGCAAAGACCCTAAGCGCGTTTATGATAAAAATGAAACTTTTTGTTATTACTTGACCATACTATTGTTCTAAATGAAATCTATCGAGCGTGGTCGAATAGACGTCACATCGAGTTTGCCAGACGGTTTTAATCTACTATTTTATTATTAATATTCATAAGCTTGTACGTACAAGCATATATACACGCTCACATCCATAGATGCATGAATATACTACACCATATTGTTCCAATTCAATGTCATTTCGTAATTTTTTTCGGAAAGGGATACAAAAAATGATAGAACGTTTAAAATCTGTTAAAGTTATTATAAATTCCAAGAGAGATTTACTGTTGAGAGATGTAGATTGGAATTTTAATTTCATTTAATATTCGCATTTTATTACATTAGAAATTATGTTCATATTACATTTTACACTAGAATGATTTAAAACGTGTAATTAATGTTTTCTTAATTTTTAGATAGTTTTAGAAAATATAATTATGCCTTAAATTTATCATAATGAGCAAAAAGATTTGTTGTATTAAGAATTGGATATTATAACAATTATATTTAAAAAAAAAAGACACTTTGAAATACTATTTGAAACGATTTTTCGAACAAATAAAATATTTTATTTTCAAAAGCCTTTTGTGAGCAACTTATATATTTTTTTTAGTGTATTTACTAATATATTATATATTATAAAAATTCACTATATATGTATGTATGAATGCTGTGTGTGTGCCTGTATAAATACATAGTTGAACGAATACGATAATTGATCTATTATGCAAACAAGTAACTTTTTACTACATCGGTCTCGCATAGACATAAAATGATTTATTTAAAAGCTTTACGTTAGAACCATAAGGTTCACCGAAATCATTTTCTCGTTCGTGCGTTTTACCCGTTTTCGAAAATCATTTAGATTCTATTTCTATCATTTCGTCGCGTTTTTTATTCTTTATTTTTATTCCTCTCTTTCTCTGTCTCTCTCTCTCGCTCTCTCTCTTTTATTTTCATTGGAAAATCTCAAAGTTTATTAAACTTTATTACCATCATCACTCATCATCGATCGTTTCTTTCAAACGTTCAACTAGTTCAATATATTTGCATGTTTTAAAGGAATAAATATTTGTCTATTATTTTTGGATCTACACTTTTAAAGATATTTATAGAACTGTACACTTCGACAACAAAATCCTACGAATGATAAATCGCGATACGCAAAGACAGATAAATTGTACTGATAAATTATTCGAGTTTGTGTATAAAGTAACACCTACTATAACAACAAAATTCAACGAATAGTTAACAATAATATACGTATAGGGATAAAGTGTCATAATTAATTGACATCAAGATAAAGAGAAAACTTCATTAAAACTTCAATTACTCACATATGGGGGTGTACAGTATATAGCTTGGCACCACATCGGTTCCGAGTGATAACAAACGCACAAGCTACAAACCGCAGGACCTGGCACATAGAGAAGTCCGTGCCTGACTGTTCCACCTTGAAAATCGGTACAGTTCTCCTCGAGAGCACCTGTAATTCAATATTTCTCATCTTGATAACAAAGAAGGATCAACTTCATTCTAATTTAACTTCACGTTAAAATAATATTATAAAGTAATGAATGTATAATTAATTATTAGCTTGATGCAAAAGTAATTGACATTTTTGTTATTGCAAATTTATTGCAATTATGTTGGTGATTGCGGTGAAATTGAAACTATTGATTTTTAATATTTTTTTTTCATTTTTTCGTTTTTTTTTTCAAGAAATGAAGAAAAGAAAATTCGTATGTGTGTTTTTATTGTTTTATATTTTATTTAAATTGATACCTAAAACAGTAGAAATATATAAACTGTCTGAAATATATAAACCATATTTTTAGCCTTTGAACAATTACCGAATGTACAATTGGACTCTGATTTTAAACAAACAAAAAACGCAATGGAAACAAAATGTTAAAAATGAGAAAAATACGTGAACGTTCTAAACGATTCAGAATAATTATTTAATGTCCATTACATCAAAACGAATCTAATTAAACAAGTAAAGAAATTACAAAATAACTCGATGTTGATCGTTCGACAGTTATTCGATATTTCAATCATATATAAATTTTTTAAATTCGATACTTCAAAGCTGCAATTATTTTTGCACGAATGAAATACGATATACGACTGGTATTTATTTAGTCAATATTTGGAAACATTTTCGCTTCGTATTTTTAATAGATGAATTATATGTATTACAGCTACATAATGTGACTGTACATTCATTATAAATATTATTTGGACCTTGAATAAGTTCTCGCTGTTTTTTTTATAAAATAAAAACTTTATTTAAAATATAAGGAACAAAAACGTTTTATTGAAAGTATTGCCCATCACTAGAGACCACTTTCTCCCATCTTTCTGGCAGTATATGAATTCCGCGTTGGAAAAACGGCATGTCTTTTGAGGCTATCCAAGAATCGACCCACTTTTTAGCTTCTTCGTAAGAATGAAAACTCTGGTCAGCTAAGCCATCGAACGGAATAGATG